GTATGCAAATAGACTGCAAAATCTGCTAGCTCATGAAGTAGCTACTAAGGCTTGAAGGAGGGGTTCTGAATTGGTTTTTCAATTACCCTCCCAAGGTCTGGATGTACATATTTTCAAGTCTTTGATTTAAGTCCTCTTCTGTTCTACACATGCTTAGTGGGCTTGGGGTTCTAAAGGAGATCTTTAATTTCTTTATTCCTTCTAAATTCACTATTTTCTTTTTCTTTTTTCAAAAGTGTGAACACAACCCTATATCCTTTCTAGACAAGCTAGTGAGGAAGGAATCCTTTGCAAGCCTAATGCAATTAAAATCAGATGACAAACTGAAGTGGGTCAAGGCAAAACAGACCCAAATTTAGGGCTAACAAAGGGTCGGGGCTGGTTTGAGATAGGATGTACCAATGTCGTTTTGGTTATCAACCGGGATAATATGAAATAGGGATAATCATGTCTGACCCGGTTTTTTGGTCTTTTAGTTTTTTTTTTTTATGAAAAAACAACACAAAACCACTGAGGGAGTACATAAAAATAAGTATTTATTTGAATAAACACTTATTTTAGGTCGGGACCACACCAATAAACACATATAAAGCTGATCGCTGCCACGAGGGGCCCTCCGGCCCTACAATTTTCTTGATTCCGCAAGTTGAAATGACTACTCCCTCGTCATCTCAAAATTTTGCCAGTTTACGGGTTTTCCGGATCCAAACCCGAACCTCTGCCCAAACCAATTAGTTAAGTTAGAAAGAGTGATTCTCTGGTACAGTGGGTACAGTACTTGGTACTTGGATCGCGATCCACCGTGCTGTTGTCCATGATGTGATTCGGCTTATCCTAGAATTTATTCCCGTCACAGTAAAATAAAATATAAATGGGCTGGGCCCACAAGAGACAAGACCCACCATCGTCCATCTACGTAGATCGGTGGGTCCACCCAGGATATGGTGCGCGCATGGTGCTTTTGGCACGCGTAACGTAACACCTCCATACGCGCTTTCTTAAAAGACAGCGTTGAAAAAGAAGCTACACCCCTAAAAAAATAAATATCTTATTTGCGTTTAGAAAACTACCAAGAAAGGGCCTCGATTCCCTATTTCAGGGGCCTTTCTATTAAATTAATCCCATTTGCTGCTCTAGGACGTGGACCTTATCAAAATCCTCCGTCGTCTGGTCACTAACATCGTACAGTCAAAACGAAACTTGATCTTGACAGCTTCATTTACAGTGTTCTACGTTTCTCTAGTCGAGTTCGGATAATCTGAACGCAATAGCTGTTCAGCGGGCTGTGCAAATGATGAAATTCCACGCCTCCACTGTGAAACATGCGGAAGATGTATTGCTGACGTGGAACCTTATAATTGGTTTCACAGCCCGCTGAACAGCCATTGTGTTCAGCTAAAACCCTTACGTTTCACTCAAAGGTTTTCTAATGACACTTCCATGATTAAGGGTATTTTCATAATTACATGTAAATAAAATAAAGGGTTGATTACCACCATATTATTTGGGGTAGTGATTAGAGACGCCAGGGTTAATCCGTGGGCTATTTTTTGAAATCGAATCGGTATTATCAGTTTTTGAAAATTATTGTATTGAATCAATTGGTTAATTGATCAATTTGATTTTTTTTTTAAATACCGAATTGATCATTTTGATTAATTAGATTTTTCAGTTTGGTTTTCTTGATTTAATTGGGTTTTTTTTATAATTTATGAGCATCCCTACTTAATTCATTGAACTTTCATTCTTTTAAGATCTTACCTGATTGTCATGTGTTTTTTAAAATATTTTTAAATTCCTAAATTATCTTATTCTTAAAATTTGTGAGACCATTTTACCCTTTTTCTTACGTATTTGTATAAATCCATTACTTGTATTTCTTTTCTCTTTTTTCTTGGAATGAGGTTTTAGTTTGATTAAGGTTTAAAAGTGTAGGCAAGAAAGAGATAATGAAGTCATTTTAATAAATTAAGGGAGAAAACTTCTTAAAATAAGGCTCAATTTGGAAGGAGTACAAGTGCAAGTTTATAGAGTACAAAACATTATATTTGTATTATTTTATCTGTAAATTGCTAAAACCTCTCCTCAAGTTTTTAGCCATTGTTGAAACCTCTCCTCAAGTTTGATATTTATAATACCTCCTAATGTAACCGTTTTTGGTCACGTACCATTTTTTGTGATGTATAAATTTTTTGGCTAAGTACTTCGTTGTTTGACCCGGTGATGACGTGCCTTGGTGATGAGCTACTTGGTGGCGAACTCCCTGGGGGAGAACTGCTTGGTGACGAACTGCTTGGTGGTGAACTACCCAATGGCGAGCTCCCTGGTGGAGAGCTACTTGGTGACGAACTGCCTGGTGGTGCTCCCTAGTGGCGAATTGCCTGGGAGCGAACTGCCTGGTGGCGAACTCCCTGGTGGCGAACTGCCTAGGGGCGAATTGCCTGGTGGCGAACTGCTTGGGGGCGAACTGCCTGGTGGCAAACTGCCTGGTGGCGAACTGCTTGGTGGTGAACTCCCTGGTGGCGAACTGCCTGGTGGCGAGCTGCTTGGTGGCAAACTGCCTGGGGGCGAACTGCCTGGGGGCGAACTGCCTGGTGGCAAATTGCCTGGTGGCAAACTACTTGGTGGTGAACTCCCTGGTGGCGAACTGCCTGGTGGCGAACTGCCTAGTGGCGAACTGCCTGGTGGCGAACTGCCTGGTGACGAGCTGCCTGGTGGCGAACTGCCTGATGGCGAACTGCCTGGTGG